TACAGCAATTTTGTAAACTCTCTCAGTGCTATAGTAATACCTAATAGTCTCTATGTATTTTGGATGTATTTGCTCTACTGTATTTTAACAGGATGTTATTGCTTTACTGTAATTAGATTATTTTAACTCAGTCAGAATTGGATTTGAAAGACGAAAGAAAAGAAGCTTCCTTTTGATACTGAAATTAAATATTAATGTAATATTTGAAATGTTAAGGTACATCAGCCCTTTTGTCCCAATGAATGTACCGAACAAAGTGCCAAGAATCTCTGTACATTTTCTTGGCCATCCCCACTTATCTGGATCTCCAGTTACAAGCAGGCCAGTTCTTCATTTGTTGACATGTAACACAGCCCACAACTTTCAGCTCAGGTTCCATGTAGATGAATTGAAAAAAATCAGCACCTTATCTCTATAGTTATAAGAGAAGCTGTCCAGGTCAATTCCAGTCTAGTTTATTTTGCAAGAAATGTCTTTTCATTGGTTTCTAACCTCCAGACACTGTGTGGTAGCGCTGCTTTTTCCTCTTTAAATTGCCACGTTCATGAAAATAGGAGGGAAAATTTAAAGGGGAACAAAGAAACCATTTCAGAGGTACAGGTGGAATTCTTTTCCAATTTTTTTGGAGGTGAGGGGGAAGGGGAGGAAGAAGGTTCTTCCTATTAAGTTTAAATTCAATAGCTTTGTCCGATGTTAATTTTCTAAAGATAGCAACAAATGGAGAATTCACTGGTCCTATACGTACATGCATTTTTTTTAAAAAAAGAACTGAAATTAAATTGAAAAATCCACCCCTCCAAAGTAAAATGATATCAAGTTCCCCTTCTGTACTGTTATACAGAAACAGAAACTGTTTTGCCCTCTGCCAAAAGAGAGAAAAAGCCATGCGTGGCACTTCGTTTTTTGCACTTTCCATGGAATAAAGGATCCAAGACATGCAGAAAGAAAGTTCTGGCGTGGATTTTCATTTACTAAATCCTTGACTTGAGTTTAGTTATGGTTACACTTCCATAGTAATGGAATTAAATCCTACTGAATTCGGGAAGGCTTCTGCCTGAACAAGAAGAAATCCATTTGCCCACAGCTTTTATTCGACAATGCAATCCATAGAAGGTTTACTCGGAAATAAGCAGTACTGAATTTAATGGGAGAAACTTATAGGTGCATGCATACCGGATGGTATTCTTAGCTAAGACTATTTGATATCAAATAAGAAACCCTTTTGGAAATTAATAATATTAACCTGTTTCTCAGGGTTGTAAGTGTCAGTAGTTGGAAGGGCATAATGATGGCATACAGAGCCTGACAGGTTGTCCATCAGCTTCAACTCTCCTTCCAGAGATTCCTGGATCAGCAGTGATATGGTATCAAACAAGTGTCTTTCCTGGGAGGAGTGCCAAATAGCATGCAGAAGAATAGGCCAGGCCAAAGAGAGAGGAATGGAGGGGAGAGAGAAAAGGAGGATTGGGGAGGATAGAGAAAGAGAGAGACCATGTAGGAGACAGAAGGAGGAAGAAAAGAGAGACAGAAAAATGTTTTCAGACAGAACAGTAGTTGTTGAAATGGCCAGGAAGAAAAGACAGGGACAGAGAAGGGAAAAACAACAGTGCAGTAATACCATAGTCAGAATTTTTCTAAGACATTGCTACACACAAGACTGAAACTAAACACATGGTAAGGCCAGTGGGACACATTACATTCATCCAGAGCAGCGACCGGCAGGTATTTACCAATGGGCAGAAGTTTTTGCAGGGCTATATCATACCAACATGACAAGGGACAAGTGCAGCAGAAATAAACAACAAATGCGCACTATTTCAAATGGAGGTGAGAATGGAAGCCAGCACGAAGCGTTGGCATCACGCAATCGCATCACTGTAACCACTTGAGAGGAACATGGTTTTCAGAGGTGCTGGTGGCTTGTGACCAAAGTGCTCTCAATCTCTAAAAATCAGACCCTCGACTTAGCCTCCGAAGAATGAATGCAAGGCAAACTTTTGGAAACAGGAAGAGACTGAACAAACATTGGTTTTCCACAACCACTATCTGCTGGTGCAGGCATGTAAATGCTTCCTCTTGGAAGGCAAGTACTATATACTCAGTTGTTGCAACAGTGAGCTATTCTTGCCTATGTCCTGCTTGAGCCAGGAATAATTATCTTGAAATACTGGCAAATAAATCTCATAAGCGGTCGGGGAAATCCTGCTCTTAATCCCATTCCCAGATGTAGATATGGGCAGAACTTACCTGAATCTGGCTGACATTTGAGTTAATGCAGAATGCAAAAAGAGACACCAAGTTGGTTTCAAAATCCAAATTACACTGATATTTTCTGGTTTGGTGGCAATCTCTGTTCTTTTAGTTACACGTGAAGGGTGATTTACAAGAACTTTGGGTAGGGTTTTCTTTTCACCTCATCTGATACAATAATTTCAAAGCATTTGGAGTTCAACATTAGACTAGGAAGGTGCGGTCATGGGAGGAATGTTCAAATAAAAGACCTAAAAAATCACTGGTAACAGGACTTCCTGCTCAAAATGCAGCCAAATGAATCACCTTTGTATAGGAAACGATTGCGTGAGGAAAACAAGGGATTGGGGAGTTTATAGGCCTCTAGTCCAGAAGAGGTGGGAGGGAGCTTTAGAAAGAGAAAATACATATGGGGTATATTAGTATTAGTTACCAGAATTACATTTCATTGGTTCATTTTTTTTAAAGAGGGAGAAAAATTACTTGGAAGTATTGTGATATATCCTAGTGGGAAGACTCCTATTTACTACAGTCACAAAATACAGGTAGTCCTCAACTTACGACCACAATTGAGCTCAAAATTTGTGTTGTTAAGTGAAAAATTTGTTGAATGAATTTTGGCCCAGTTTACGACTTTTCTTGCCACATCTGTTCAGTGAATCACTGCAGTTCTTAAATTAGTAACATGGTTGTTAAGTGAATCTGGCTTCCCCATTGACTTCGCTCGTCAGAAGGAGATTATATGACTCCGGGACCCTGCCACCATCATAAATGTGAGTCAGTTGTCAAGCATCCAAATGCAAATCACGTGACCATGGGGATGCTGCAACGGTCATAATTGTGAAAAATGGTCGTAAGTCACATTTTTCAGTGCCGTTATAACTTTGAACAGTCACTAAATGAACTGTTGTAAGTCGAGGACTACCTGTACTACAGAGAGGGCTCATGGGAACTTCAGTTTAGCTACCTGTGGAAGCTCCGAATAAGGACTGTTACACAGAATAATGTTTTATAATTGTTTTGCAGAAGTGGATATACGGTACCATCTGAACTCAGCCTTAAGATTATCTTCACATGTCTCGTAATTAAGATGGTATAAGAACAATGGCTTCCCTTTGAATGGTCTTCCTTCCACAAAGCTCATGCCACAATCAGAACTCAAAGTCTCTCAAATGGCAGAGCTTTATGTTACCATCGAGTGAGCTGTCAAAATCGACAAGTCTAATCCATCTGAAATCCAAATGCTCCGGTTTAAATTATATACCCTGCATCACTGAGTTCCCTTTGACTTTCCATGATAAGGATTTAATTTGAGGCTACCAAAATAATTAAGAGTTAATAATTAAGAGTTGTCATCCTATGCATGCTTGCTCTAAATCCAGGGAGATTTATTTTCTAACAGTTGAGGACTGAAACCTTAAAATATTGTGCTTATATTGCGCACAGGATTCTGAAAGCCAAAGAATCTTTGAAAAAAATAATGATTCTTAATTTCCATTTGCCAGGCTCCTAATTTCAGAAATGTCTGAGATGTTGAGATTAATATACAGTGTGAAGCTTCTGAAGTAACAAGAGGAGTAATAACTTAGCAGCAGTAGTACTTTCTATGCAGGAAACAGCCAATGTGTATGATGCCACGAGTTCCCACGGCTATAACCTAATACAACAATGCATATAGTTTATGGAACATGCAAGCAAGGAAGCATGCAGATCACATCACTCTGCAGGGTTATAATATAGAAACTGTATTCCTCTTTCATCAACCATTTCTTGGAATGCAGAGATTTCAATTAAAGGGACACTGGCATGAAGAATGAGTATTTTCATTAGCTATTGAAATGACACTCAAGAGTTTAAAGATAGAATCGGCATAATAATATGGGCAAATGTCATTTGCAAAAGTAAGCATTTTTCCTATATCAAAAGACTCTTTTCCTTCTGTGATAGGCTTTTATCGGGAAAAAGAATTGGCAGTTATAGAGAGTTTTGAGAAATTCCAACCTTCCAAGTTTTGATCAGACACAGTCAACAAACTATTTGAATAATGAACAAAAATATTACAGTTTGCAATGAGCAATATTTCTGCAGGCAATTAATTTATGATTGATTAATGGAGAAGGAAGGGTAATTTCCAAATATGAAATAGGAGATTCCCCCCACTCTACTGATATGGACTTGTTGGTGACTGTTGGCGCTACACTCATGGAAAGAGCGGCTGGAAGTTTTCAACAATGAAACTGAATATTGCTCTGTAATGGTAAAAATCAGACATATACTTGAATAATTAAATTGCATACCGGACATAGAGATGGGAAAGTGAGCAGGGCACCCTTCTATACAGGTGCCTGACCTCTCACCTACTACATAGATGCATGATTCTATTGAGCAGCCTTTGAGTTGCAAAGGTGTCTTTGAGAAAAACCTTAGTGGCCTCTTCCTCCAGCACTGCCAGTAATGAAAGCTGTGTCTGAGATCCCAGGGCCTCTGTTATAAATGTGCTGGTTAATGGACTGCAGAACATTCTTTGCAACCAATTAATAACTTTGCATGGACGTCTAAATAAGTTTGGCCTGCTTTTGTTGCATAAGGCTTTTTTCTAACCTAGACACTTGGGAATTTTATGGAGAAAAAGGAATACAACTCCCTGATAAATTACTGGAACCACTCAAACTTAGATTTGAGTGTATACAGTATGTTGCTGGAGACAAGTGAAGGCCGCTCCCCACTGACCCACCACCTGAGGTTCTCACCATAGGATGAACCATGGACAGCTGAGAATTCACTTTGATTTGCATGGGGTTGGCATATCCTCCAGGACTCTCAGGCCGTTCTCCTGTGTTACCGCTTGTCCAAATGAAAGAGTCCGAAGGTGGCTGCACACCCGGTGTGATTGTCTTCATTTCCATTTCCAACTCCAGCTCCAGTTCTGCTTCTTCTTTGGCTTCCTTGTTACTCTCCTCCAGGTGCTTCATCAGAACAGCAATCACCACATTCACCAGGACAAACTGGGCTGTCAGCACAAAAGAGACGAAGTAGATAGGCGAGATGACGGTGTTGTAACAGGTGGATTCCTCATCGCAGTCCCGCAATGTGTCCTGGGAGGGAACAGAGGGAAGTGAAGTGGAAATGGTTGTGGCTGAGAACTTCAGGCAACTACTTGTTGGGATTGGCAGTTTATGCCACTCAAATTCTAGCTTCAAGCCTATATGGCCAGACCCTGTGTGGAAGATGGTGAATGAGTGTCCTCCAGGTTGAACAGTTTCTATAGAATTTTAGGAACTCGACCACTGAAAGATCCTTCTACTCTTCTACAATGTCTTATTTTTAATACACTGGATGAAATCTTTGAAAAGGCTACCCTCCCGCACTCAGGCACAATACATTCAGAACTGCATAACATTCTGACATCCATAGATAATTCAGTGTATTTGCAATGGCTGCTTTCTTGCTTTGGCCAAAATAGAAAGATCTCATGATTCCAACAGAATAGGCATAATCCACCAGGGGTGATTAGAGCCTGGGAAATGCCAATAACATCAATAATGTGCTGAGTTTGGTCACTGGCATTGTTTGAAAACATTTACCTAACTTGGAAACTAATTACTCTGGTTTTACTCATATTAAGCCTGTCCTTTTCGATTAGTTCTGGACAACTTTTTGGTGGTCTTACTGAAATAAAATAGTAGGTTGGTACAAAACGACATTGTGTATAGCCAGGAGTCTTTAAAAATTAGGTGCTTTAAAAAGTTTCAAAACAAACAAGCCATGATGCCAAACCTCAGTTGCAATTTATTAGAAAAGGATTCCGAAAGCTGCAAATGTCAGTGAGGGCTACATGGTTTTGTGGTTTGCCTCTCCATGATCTTGATGATGTCACAATCATAATGTGATCCCTAATTAGCTAAGGTCTATTCCATGAATAATGCAGAAAAAGGGGAAGTTTAATCAAGAATTGGGGTTGGGGTTGGGGAGGAATGATCCCTATTGTTGCAAAAAAGAAGAAATAATTTGGATAAGTATATAATTTGTTATTTACTTGTACATCCTGAATACTGCCACAGTATCTAACTGATACTTAAAATTTAGAGAATGATAATATTCAAAACAGTAATTATGTCAGTCTTTCAAGAGCCTGAAATTGTATGTTGTGTTTTTCTACTCGTTTTTTTTTTTCCTGATGGCAATTTTACCTTCATTATCCCATTCCAATTGTCTCCTGTGGATACACGGAAGAGTGTGAGGAAAGCCATTCCAAAGTTGCGAAATGTTGCATGCCTCCCTAAACCCTCGCAGGGATGAGTATCATCACATTCTATATGTGCAATAAAATAAATAAATAAAGAGCATTTAGTCATAAAGGGTTTTTGTAGTGGTTGTTGTTGTTGTTATTATTACCACAAAGAATTCTATAGTTCAGGCAGTGCAGAGAACTTACCAAGATCCCCAAAGAGCTCCACTCCAAGAGCTGCAAATATGAAAAACAACAACATGAAGAGGAGACCTAGATTCCCCACCTGCAAAGAGATAAGAAACGAAGGGGAAAAACACTCATTGAAGTTATACATCACCCAAGTAACTCTCACAATGAGGAATGTACATGCTATATTAGTCTCCCAAAGGTGGGAACATACCACTATCCAGATGCTGCTGAATTAGTTTTATCACTAAACATAGCCAACAGTGAGGGATGCAATTCATCAATATTTGGACATTTGCAAGTTCCTGCACCTGAAATATCTCTCATTTCCTTCTTTACCTTTACTAAATCTCATCCAGTCACTAGTCTAATGCTATGATTTCTTATGTGTGTGAACAAATACACATGTTTTAAATTTAGATGTCCATAGTGTTGGTCATGAGAGAAGGACTTGCATTGAGAAAAATGATTCTGAAAGCTTTTCCTGACCCCCAAATGCCCATCTGAATAAATAAACCAGTTTTAAATGTCAAGCGACCAGTCCACAACTTGCTCCAGTAAAAATAAAATAAAATTGGAAAATGTTTGAAAGTTTAAAACTGAGCATATGTTTCTGCTCCATCAAGAGTTGTAGCTTTGGGATGTTGTGTATATTGCATGGTGCATAAACACAATATCAGATTACCCACCTGGCCCATTATATAGCACTAAGAAGAAATCTTGTCTTCTACACCTGGTGCTTTTCAGATGCATTGGTCTATGACACCACATGGCCACACTGCCTGGGAATTATGAGAATTAATACATCTGAAGGGAACCAGGACGAAGAAACTTGTTCAGGGTCTGGAAAATTAGCATTTCTGAGCTGTGGAATTGATCTTTGCTCTGAAGATCAGGGAAAAAAAATTCAGGACAAGAAAAAGCAGCTGAGTGCTTACATTTTTAGACTTTAATTTCTATTAGAGTTTTTAAATTTCAAAACAGGCTTAATTTCACACCATTAAATTTGTGTGAATTACACTCAAAAATACAGCAACTGTTGTCATGAGACCTCAACTAATTAGCTTTAGAGATTGGAATCTTTTCATGGGAAAGCAAGGTTCTCTCTTGAGTTGGCACTAACCTACATACAATACCTCTTGCTCATAGATGGACAAATGTAATGTAATTTTCCTCCTCCATCCTATCTCCTTTATTTCATTAATGCAAGTTGCTTCTTACTTTTTCTTAACTGATTTTAAGCAGATAGATGGTTTCTGAATTGGCACAATCCTAACTCCCTGGGTTACTGATTTACTTTGGAGCATGTATGTAGGGGGATAAATTGTAGGAGAAGAAATGGCATTACCTGGGTGGGGGGGAATTAAAAGAGGGATCAGTCCAGAATCCCTATGTAGCCACAAGCAGATTTAACTACATATACCTCTGTTAACTCCACCCCCAGGTTCTGCTACTCCTTCTTCACAAATGAATACTTATATTTGATGCAATTTTCTTGAAAAGGCCAAATCCCCAACTGGATAGGGGCAAGCAAATCTGTGATGATTAGCAAATAGACAACAAAACTTGAGTAGGAGGCAAACCACTGAAAAACATACTAGAAAAAGAATACTAGCTGAAGAATTCTGGGAAAAAGCAATTGATTTCAGCCAATTCACAACTAAGTTCTAACCTTCAACAAGACACAAATATAGGAACCTTGTACAGAATTATCTAAATTCCTAAGATAATTAGACAGTGAAGGGAACTTAACTGAAGTCTGGATGATTAGACTGAAAGGTTACCTGAGGCAGTGCTTGCATGACTGTATCCAGAAGAGCTCTCATCCCTACAGCCATTTTCAGCAATTTTAACACTACAGAAAAATAAAAGATTTGTGATATCATTTCCATAATAAGGATGCATGGAAAGGAAATGTAAATTTCAATATTCACAACAATTACCCAAAGAATCATGTCCTAACATCCTCCACTAAAAGTTAATGTGTAAGACGATGTTTTATGGAGTCTTCTTCAGCCTAGAAAACTTTGAGTATGTTGGACTTCAATTGCCATGCTTCGCACTAGGAAAGCTGTTCAGTGTGGTATCCTATTATCAGAATATGGTTCTTAAAATGTGTAAAACTATGTCCTACACAGAGGTCCCAAGAATGAAATTCCAATTCTTTCACTCACTAATTGAGGCGATGCCAATATTATAACAGGAATGCAAAGAGGGCTCCGTCCCCCGGCAGCTACTGAGCAAAGCAAACCAGTTTTCAAAGGTCAGAAAATTATCTAATCTACAGTTTCTAAAAATTCATCTTTGATCTGAAGAGCTAAGAGGCCAAGTACATGCTCACTGATTTAAATGGCACCAAGACTGAAGAAGAAATCAAAGTTGTTTGTACTCTTTGATTCCAAATCTAGGACACAGCAATAGTGAGCTTGTGATCTTCCAAGCTAAGGACTTTATAGCCTAATGTCACTAGGCTCCATAATAAACTCCTTTAATACTTTGTTGCCTGGAGCAAACAACACCATGTATAATTAATAAATAAAACCATTGGAATACAGTGGCAGAAATTAATCAGAGTAGTTGGGATTACTTTTTAAAATCCATTAAAATTTGTAATGTCTGACACCCAATCAAGTGTTCACAGCTGTAACAGAAACCTGTTTTTGAGGAGATATGCTAGTCTAGAATTGGAAAGACCCAGTTACAAATCCCTGCTCAGCCAAGAATAGGTCAGTGATCTTGGGTTGGTCAGGTTGTCTCAGTTTAACTTTGTGCATAAAATGGGGGAAAGGGGTGACATCTTGAGAACACAGAAATGGAGGAAATCCTTCTGTTGAGAGAAATCACTAATTCATCTAGCCCATAATCAGTTCTGGGATGCGAGAGACCAAACTGACACCTTTTCCATGCAAAATAAGTATTTATTACTAGACAATGGGTTGGCTATTATGGAGTTATTAGCAATAGCAGTAACACTTAGACTTATATACCACTTCATAGTGCTTTACAGCCCTCTCTAAGTGGTTTATAGAGTCAGTATATATTGTCCCCAACAATCTGAGTCCTCATTTACCGACCTTGGAAGGATGGAAGGCTGAGTCAACCTTGAGCTGGTGAGACTTGAACTGCCGAACTTCCGGCAGTCATCAGTCAGCAGAATTAGCCTGCAGTACTGCATTCTAACCACTGCACCACCATGGCGCTTAGCTATTAGCTCGAGTAATAAGGCAAAATAATAGGCCAAAGTTAGCATTAGCTTTGTAGTGGATGCTTAAACTGTATAAATGCTCTGTGGAAGACTCTAGTATGCCAGAAATGATCAGTTCCTATTTGGCCAAAAGATTTATGGGTGCAGAGCCCCAGAAACAATGGGGGAGGGAGACTGACCTCGAGCAATCCTGAGGACCCTCATAATGCGGATAATGGTAGGGTTGATGGGCAGGGATGCATTCACCTCAATCTCTTCCAGCGTGATCCCCATGATGGACAAGAGAACAATGGCTAGGTCTAATTGATTCCATCTGAAGGTGAGACAAAAATCATTTTTTTTTTTGCTAAACTATTTGTTAGAAAAGGAGGGGGTTATATGACAAAGAATTCCAATCATTTCAGGCATTTAAGCATTCATGAACTGACACTCTACCTTTATCAGTTTTTGAGATGAAACAAATTAAACAAAAGATGTATTATTAGGATACAAATTTAGTCAAGTCTGAATACACCGCTACCTGGAACGGAGAAGGAAAAACTGAATTAATCTGCAGGGCAACAGAAATATAAAAAGATAATGTTGACTTCATTTCCTTTAAATGCTTTATTCAAGCTACATTTCTCTAAATGTTTTATTCAACTGAATTTAGTTTGTCCAAAATCTTTTTTAAAAAGGATTTGCCCTTTGTTTAATTGCTATTGTGTGTGTGGGAGGTATGTTAGGAAGATCTTCAAGGTTATATGGCAAAGATGGGGTTTAGGTACAAATGAAGAACATGATGCTCTTGATGGAGAAGTATCACATTAATTCTATATGATCTGAGTTTATTCAATATACTCACTATTTGTGTCTATATATGTGTGTCTGAGAGAGTTCTTCACAATTTAATCAGCTCACTAAAATAATGACAAATAACAGAGAAACTGTGCTGCTACTGCTCTATAAGTAAATGCATTATTTGGGACTGCTGAATATCTGGGGAGATATGACAGTGCCACCAACAGCTGACTGTTCTATATGCTCATGAGCAAATTAGATCCAAAATCTCCATTTGGCACACATAGTCACATTTAGAATTGTGAGACCAGGTTAGCAGCACAAAATGGCTACCATGGCAAACTTGACCATCTTTCCTGAGTTTGCTCTTCACGGTCCCCTCTAATCTATCCATATAGTAGCTGTCACCTCAGTTTGCCTTTGACATTTTACTAAATAGGTAGGCATGCCAAGCTGTAGTCTCCTTTCATTTCTTTAAAAAGAATGACTCAAGGATAAATGCATTTTTTGTAAATAAAGATTGTGACTGAGGCTGGTATTTTGCATTGCAGCATGCTAACTTCTCATTTTAAAAACATAAAGGAATAAAGGTACAAGCTATAGTAAGCAACAAGGGAGGAGCCAGCATTTTTTTCTGGTGCTTATGAGAGCTACAGTGATGACCCAAGTTACCAGTGTGATGGGAACAGGATTGGTTCACACTATAGGTAGTCCTTGACTTATGATTACAATTGGTATTGGAACTTCAATGTCATCATTAAGTGAGTTGCACCTGCTTTTATAACTTTTTTACTGGAGTAGTTAAGCAAATCAATGCAGTCATTTAAGTGATTCATGCAGTCGTTAACCAAATCTAAGTTTTCCCAATGACTTTGCTTGTTTGAAGCACCTGGGAAGGCTGCAAATGGTGATCACATGACCCCTGGATGCTGTAACCATTGTAAATATGTGCCAGTTACCAAGTGTCCAAATTTTGACCAGGGACCACTGGGAGACTGTGATGCAAGGATCAATCATCACTTTTTCAATGTTGTAACTTCAAACCATTGTTAAACAAATGTTTGCAAGTTGAGGAGTACCTGTAGTAAGAGAATTACAGCTGGTGCAAATGTGGTGCGTAGATGTAGTGGAGCAAAATCCACCAGTAAGAAATGTGTTTAGGGACAACTATGATTTTACCATAAAGAGTTTAGAAATACACTTACTCCTTCATACAGAGAAGCAGAAATTAAGAAAAATAGGCACCCATGTTCTTAGGTATTTCTGTATAATTTAAATTGAATTGGCAGATATGAAATATCCATATAAGGAGTTGGAAATACTTCTATATATCACAGCTAACTCGGCTAGTTTCAATAGGAAATAAACCTGGCATCTTTCTGAGTTTTGCTGATTTATTTTCCTATTTTTTAATGAAGTGATTAGTGCTTCAATTGCTAATGACTTAATAAAAAATAGGGAAATAAATCTATTTGCCAAACAGGGTAAATAGATAGGTAAAATTAAACTTCCTAATATATAAATCAAGACTGATCCTAATACAAGGAGGATCCACTTTAGAAAGATTTTGAGGTACAATTAATAAGGCAGAAAATTACTATGTAGGTGTTCCTATTTTTCCAGAAGGTTTTCTCTTTTTTTAACTGTCACAAGAAAAGATACCATTTATATATTTAATTATTTTTTTCTGTTAATTAGCACATTAGCATTAAGAATGGCCCAATAACTCATCTTCATCCACATATTTAGACAGAAAGAGCTATAACTAGAAACATTAGGAATGTCACTTGTTGAAGGGGAAAAAAAGACCACAAAACCACCTTGCAATGTTATTCTGAATCATTATTACCTATCTTGAAAGAACCGACGAAACCCAAATGCAGTGAGCTTGAAAACTGATTCCATGACAAAGATGATTGTAAAAATGTAATTGCAGATCTTCAGAGCTTCCTCAAGAATCTGAAAGCAGAGAGACAAATGGTACATTACTGCATACGGAAAGGAGGACATTGGCAAATTTCATTTTCAGCTGAATCCATTCTATCCTCTGCTTTATAGGAAAAAGACCGAACTGCTAAATGAAGAGAAGCCTGTAAATGTAAGCATATCGGACTCCTCGATAGTGTGGGCTTTTGAAATGCTGCTGTCATACCAGGTAGAGAGATGATAAGGGCAAAAGTCTAACCCTCGATGCTTTATGGGAATGTTGACAACAACCACAACCTCGGGACCTCAATATCATCAGAACCGCCTACCTCCATTGGGTTTTACCCATGCAAGAGAACTGGAAGACTGGATTTTCTTCCCATTCTTTATTTAAGAGAATGTCACTTGTAGAGAACCCAGAGAATAGCCTTCTCGGAAGCATCCCCACGTGTTCCCTGTGAACAATCTAAAGAAGTGGGGATGTTTTTGAGCAGGCTGTTTTCCGGGATCTCTGCAGGTGACATATTCTTAAATAAAGGATAAGAAAAGAATCCAAATGGCATCCTTTCCCCTTTCCCCAAATTAGACTGGATCCTTCCTTGAATAGAATAGAATAGAATATTTATTGGCCAAGTGTGATTGGACACACAAGGAATTTGTCTTGGTGCACATGCTCTCAGTGTACATAGGAGAAAAGATACATTCGTCAAAAGTCAAGAATCATAAGGTACAACACTTAATGATAGTCATAGGGTACAATAAGCAATCAAATCATATTAGGAAACAGTCAATATAAATCATAAAGATACAAGCGACACAGTTACAGTCATACAGTCACAAGTGGGAGGGGAGGGGTGATAAGATGAGAAGATTAATAGTAATAGTAATGCAGATTTTGTAAATAGTTGAACAGCGTTGAGGGAATTATTTGTTTAGCAGAGTGATGGCTTTTGGGAAGAAACTGTTCTTGTGTCTAGTTGTTCTGGTGCGTAGTGCTCTATAGCATCCTTTTGAGGGAAGGAGTTGAAACAGTTTATGTCCGGGATGTGAGGGGTCTGTAAATATTTTCACAGCCTTCTTTTTGACTCATGCAGTATACAGGTCCTCAATTGAAGGCAGGTTGGTAGCCACTGTTTTTTCTGCAGTCCTAATTATCCTCTGAAGTCTGTGTCTGTTGGGTTGCAGAACCAAACCAGACAGTTATAGGGGTGCAGATGACAGACTCAATAATTCCTCTATAGAACTGTATCAGCAGCTCCTTGGGCAGTTTGAGCTTTCTGAGTTGGCGCAGAAAGAACATTCTTTGTTGTGCTTTTTTGATGATGTTTTTGATGTTAGGTGTCCATTTTAGGTCATGTGATATAGTAGAACCTAGAAATGTGAAGGTCTCTACTTTTGATACTGTGTTGTCTAGTATTATTGTAAGAGGTAGTAATATGGGAGGGTTTCTCCTAAAGTCTACCACCATTTCTATGGTTTTGAGTGTGTTCAGTTCCAGATTGTTCTGGTCACACCATGAGGTTGTACAACCTCCCATCTGTATGCGGATTCGTTGTTGTCTCGAATGAGACTAATCACTGTTGTATTGTTCCAGAAAACTGTTAAGACCTGGCTATTCCAAAAAGTTTGCAGTGAAGAACTGTTGGGCAGAGAGAGGCCCACCTGCTACAAGATATGTCCATGTAGGTTTATCCCTTTGGTGCAAAAAGTATTTGTTGTGGCCTGCCAGCTGCCGGCCCCTCCAGCAGCCAAATCAGAAGAGGAGGCGGCATGGGAGTCAGGGCCAGCATCAAGGCAACCTGAGAACTCTAACGGGGAAGAGGGAATGGAGCTGTCAGAGGTGGAGCCTGGGCCATCCGTCAGCCCTCAAATGGAAGTCAACGGGCCCCAGGTCTGGAGGTGGCTGATGAGGAAAAGGAGGAACAGCTGGGTCCAGTGCCTGATGTGCAGATGCGCAAAAGGCAGAGGAGAGGAGAGCAGTGGAAGTCTATGGGCTGATCCTTGGGGCGGAAGAGCCATCGCTGCTAGCGAAGCCCCACCCTAGCTCTGGGGATAAAAGGCAGGGGGCGGAAATGAATAGGTATGGCAGACAACTATTTATCTCCCTGCTGGACAGACTTGTTAGCCTGCTGTGAGACAGAGAGACTTTTTGCTGGAGCTGCTGGGGCTCCTAATAAAGGAATCATTTATTTAACTACAGAGGGTTTGTCGTGTTTGGGAGCCGGGTCAGAACAGTGTTGCAATTGTCAGTCATTGGTTTGCCTTGCCCTTTCTTTTTGTCATTTTCAGGTACTCTTATTAATCATCTTACTGGAGAAGGTCTTATAGTCGGTTTTGAGTCGTCCTGGATTAGACTGGTGTATAAATCCAAGTGTAAGCAAGCAAACAAACAATTTAGGCTGGACAAATAACAATTCCTTTCACCTTAGTTCTCCAAAAGACAGAATCTATAACTAATATATCAGTGCCGCCTTTTATAAAATATTGCTACCAAGAATGCATTGGTGAGGAGAGACTTTTGGGAGATAAAATCCTAATTGTCGAATGAAAGAATTTCATGAATATTTAATCCTGATTCCAAATTTAGAGAGAAAAGGTAGGTTATTATGGGAAGAAAATACCAAGTAGTCATTAGAGGGAAAAGATCTCTACAGGAAGTCATTGATTTATGACCATAATTAGGACCGGAATTTCTGTTGCTAAGTGATGTGATTATAAAGTACCATATCATGTGACAACATAACTGAGCAATGGCATTCTTGGCACTTCCTGTTGTTGTCATTAACTGAATTCCACTGTCATTAGCTGAGGACCCACCCCAAGCCAAGCCATTGCAGGCTTAGTACTCCCCTAGCCCCAAGCCTCGGTACTGCCTCCATTACAACTTCCCCACATACCTATCTACTCCCTATCTCTGCTCTTTTGACCATTCTGCACCCTGTTTTGTGGGTCATCAAGCCATGCCATAGGGACTGCTTGCCATGCTGTGGCTCAGAGGCCTTCTTGGCTCAAAGACTGCAAGAAGTTGCTGAGCCCCAGCACAGTGGAAGCCTTTCATAGCATTAACCCATCAGGATTACCTGTAGAAAAGTATCGAAAAAAAAAAAAAGCATAATGCAAATAGAGGTAAGTGTCCCAATTCCAATTTTTAATTTTCATTGCAGTCATGATGCTTGTTTTAAAGAAAGAATATTCGGGATAGTGGAAGGTTTTGCAGTTTGCTTGTGAGCAGAGTGGCTGAAATGTGTGGGATTCCATCTAAATTCACAGCCAAGATGTAGCCTTTATGGACAATAAGCCTAGCCAAATCTCAATTCTAAAACTTTTAGAATTAATTATTCTACAGATTAAGAGACGTTCATTTATGTCAGGATAAGATTCCTCTTGGTGAGTTTCTTTCTTTTTTCGGATTTACAAAACTAAAAACGTAAAGGTTAAATCATCTCTTAATAAGACATGATTTAATAAAGTTTAAAATGGACAAAGGGAACAGTTATAATTAAAATATAAATTATTTTATGAAAGTGTATTGGAATAACTGTAACTGAATTAGGCAACTGAACCAGACATTGATGGGAATGTTTTTTTTTTTAACTTATTACTGCATTTTACTTAAAACTGCGGACAGTTTGTGGAAATTACAAATGAGAGGATAAGTGTAATGTGAGTAGACTCTGTGCATGATTGTTAACTATAAATATGTTGATGTTTGACTGCAAGTACAGAATTAAAGGCATTGGAAGATAAAAGAAGAAAAAAAGTAGGGAGAGTTTGCCTTCCTTCCTTCCTTTGAGATACTTTCACTTTTGGATTATAACATGAGAACTCAAAAAGAAGGTAGAGAGAGAAGGAGAATATCATTAGAACAGACAGCAGAGAAAGCAATTAATTTTTTTTTTTATCAACTTGTCTTTTCCCTTGCTGACTTTCTGCCTTGCCTGATCTTCTTATGTTTGCTCAATTTTAAAAATGTTTTTCTTCCTGTTCTTTCTGTATCCCAACCAATCGAAAAATATAAACCCAGGTAGTAATATCATGGTGCTAAGATTTGCTTATATGGTAATATCCTGCCAATGAGGTTCTAATATTAGGGCTAATATTGTACTGAACAAGTAGAAACTGTATTGGTCTAATGTCCAAAACAACCAGCCTGATCCTGCCATCAGACAACAGAAGCAGTTTGTCATCAGTTTCCAGGTTCCAGCTTAGGGACCATCAGTTGGAAAGAAATTTCTGCTGCTTATTGGATAAAAAAGATCACATGATCAAAGTGTATCCAAAGGAAGATATAAATACTCCACTGAGATATGTGAAGTTGTGGTTGCACGTTTCAATGAAAGTTATGTAGTATTTTGTGTTTCATAATCATACAAAGCTAGTCACTGATAAGACACAATTAACAATCTACTTTGCCGTGAAATTTAAGTCTGGATCATAGTACAAGCAACCAGCCACTTGGGAAATATGAACCAACCATCAAGATCGCACATTCCCATATTTTCTCATCATATTAGACTTTTAAGTACTGTTGAGTTCCCATCTCTACTTCACCTTTGTTTACCTATGACATTTGTTCCTCCTCAAACAATAGGAAATAAAAATAACTCTGGTACACAGATTGGCAGCCATTTCCATCTAACTGTCATAAGTAAGTGATTTGGAAGCCGTTGTTCTTATAATTTGAATGTACAATTTTAAATGGAAGAGTGCTTCTGCTAATGGAGCAGGGAGTAGCTGCTCAGCCAAAAAGCTGAATCATCGCAGCAGGAAGAAAGAGAGGCCCTTAGATTTCTGTCCTGCTGAAAAGGAAATTGTTGAGACTACAAGAACAGGTTGGACTGTTATTATGTGCAATCATGGAGTTAAGTGAGGTTAAAGATTTCAGGATTCTGAAGATTAACAATGACAGTAAAATCAACATTTATACTTTATTAGTCCAACCATATTCCAGAAACTGCCTTGGATATCATTAATTACGACCAAAACCCTTAGGGCAAAATGGTGTATTCTTTTAGCATAGTAAAGCATTTTATACTCCAGCATTTTAGCTTCTACATTCTATTGGCTCTGTACTTTCTACTCTCCATTTTTGCTCCAAGAATAGGAGATCTACAGTAGGCACTATTGCATATGTGTGTGTGTGGGAGTAGAGTGTACGTACATCCACACCCACACCTATACCCACCATGCCCCCTCTCATGGTTCCAGGGCTCCTGTGATATCTCATTCGTATTTCTGCTTCAAAGCCAAACTGGATTTCCCAAATTTTAAAATGGCAGAACGGTTTTGAAATGTGAGAGGCTGAACTCCTTAGGGGAGGGGATTGGTTTCCTCAATCTCCCTCCAACCTCCCAACCTCCCCTTTCCCCCATTCTTTCATCCCACTAGTTGGCAAGCTGTCCAAGTGTCCTCATACTAAGTTTTGGGATGGGCTGTCATATATTATGGTGTTCTTTGTTTTTGCTTCATCCCAAAAATACAAGTGTGGCAATGCAAAGACAGAGGGCAAGCTACTTTTGGTAATTTCTCAGCTAGTTGGAAGCGGGGGGGGGGGTGTTGGGTTAATTAGCGTTGCTAACAATTATGGTGGAGGTTCTTGTGATGTGAGATCTGAGGGTCTGGTGTGGGACTGGATGAAGGAAATGTGTTAGTGCAAAAGCGTCAAGAGCTTTCATGAGTGTTACGAGTCTTTTTTTTTTTTACATCTTACTCCATTTAATCCCCACTGTGTCTTTGTGTGATTAGATGCATTATTATTTATAGTGGATTTTGAACAGAGTTGTGTCTGATGGAAAGGTCAACATCTCTGAAAAACTGGCTTCTTTCCATTTTCTGGCGAAGGATTCATTATCAGACTAATTCTGATAGTCTGAATTGAGAAGAGAAGTTGAGGCTTGTTGTGGCCATTTTCTATATTCTAAAATTGGAAATGCTTTTCACATATAGACAGCCATAAATTAAATGCAAGAGGATCAAAATTTGGCAGTGTTAGTCATCAATAGACAAAAATAGATGGTTGCAATAGTGGAGAATATTTTACTGTCTGTATTTTGGAGTTTGCCTGGTTCTTGATATTGTCTGCCCTTGTTTTTTTCCTTTCTTGCAGGCATTTCATTAACACACTACCTGGTCTGATCATGAATCATCTCTAAGAAGAAAAATAAGCTTAGAGAGCCCTAAGACCTCCCCCATAGAACTAAGTAGATTAACACATCTTTTGCCTTAGAGTTCACAATACGGACAAAACCTTCAAGAGAATTGGATGCATCCTTCTGTATGTAAGTCTTCATAATGACACAGCATTCAGACATAGTGCTAAAGCCACTAGATATCATGTGACTAAGAAGCAGAAAACTGGCTTTACGTGATGAGTGTCTTGAGAGGAAACAGCATTCTGAATGTGTAAAAAGTCACCAAATGTAGTGCTCCCTTGGGAAATATTTGTTTCAAGCACTAAGTTTGGCACAACCAATGTTCAGTATCTTGGCTGCTTCTATCTTAGCAGCAATTAAAATCAAAGGAATTTATTCTGTGATTCAGCAAAGGAGCCAGTTATAAGAAACTGGCCCCCACCACAGTCATTGGAGCTGGTTGGAGGTTTAATCTGGATTCCTGTTCCGAGAAAGGGAATGGACTCAGTGACTTAAATGGCACCTTCCAACTCTCATAAACTTACAAAAGGAGATCTTTAGAATTTCCCATTGAGATTTATCCATCAAGGAGATTTGAGATGTAAACCCAAGAAGGCTTATTATCTGAGTTTTTAATCTTTATTTAATTTTTCAGCATATTTATTCACTCATTTTTTTATAATAGATCATTTAGATATCTGAAAATCTGAGCTGTTAATGGAAAGAAGGCTGTTAGTGCCGAAAAGCTTAGGGACCGAAAGAAAGTTCAACTTTCAGGATTATTTTATACATAATGAAAGACCTTAGGGGAAAGCAACCCTTGTAGCTACTGTAAATCAGTTTTTCATTTAATTTGTAATATGCGAAACATATTGCATGTCCCCAGCCCAGAGGAACCATGCTCCTTAGATGTTCCCCACCCCATCAGAATGCAGCTTATTTGATCTTCATGGATTTGGCTAGGAATTGATGTCATGTGCAAATACTGTATGATGTAACTCTTGGAAAAATATCAAAATATATTTAAAAATGCAGATATGATTTGTGTGCGTGTGTGTGTGTGAGAGAGAGAGAGAGAGAGAGAGAATGAAGGCTTTTTGAAAGTATGTTAAAGTATTCAAGTCAATCATATTTGACTAAGATTCCATGTATGTACTTAAATAAGAATCTTTGTGTGTGTGTGTAACAGGTTCAATCAGAACTGAGGGTCTGATCCCCAGTGGCATTCAAGTGAAGAAAGTGAAAATCTCTCTATCAACATGCCACTTAGTGTGGTAGTGAATTCACTGCTAATTGTTCTATTTTAATTAACAGAGGTGCAATTCTAATTCCTTCTAGCAATGATGCCAATATCCACCATTGACCAATACTTTTCTATCCTACCTTGGGCTGGTGGTAATGTTCCATGGCCATGGTGATGACATTGAGCCCAATCACACCTGTGATGAATAAATCCAGATAATGGGTGGTGCACATTTGGTGAATCAGAAGTCGGAAGCGAGAATAATCAGAGTAGTACGGTTTACACTGTGCTTCTGAAAAGGAAAAAAGTAAAGAAGCAATTCAGAAAACAATCCCTTTTTCTCAAGACCACGTTCAGCACTGGCTTTCAGATTCATTCAAGTAAGCTTCCCCCCCCCCCCCCACTGGAGTAGGGTAGGGCAAATGTGTTTACAAACTACTGTAATTAATGCATAGCAAGGCAGTACATTCATACAATTCGTTCAAACAATTCCAATAACACATGCACAACAGCCAGCCTTCTGTGACTAGATATGAGATGAGTAAAAGAATAGATTCATTTCAGGTTTCAAAATAATTTTAGAAAAAGATTATTCTTTAAATATATTACATTTTCTTTTTAATTGCTGTAGAAGAAAAAAAAAACCTACCAGACTTGGAAGTATGTGACCTATCTATTATGCATAATAACAGCAGCTTGAAGCATATTAGCATGTGATATTGAAAACCGTAAAAATCTTGGGAAAACTCTTGGGATCAGAGTTTGGGGAAATTTGGAGACAATATACGAAGCGTTTTGATAATAGTAGAGGATAGTAATCTTGCATGTAGAGTTCATTCAGGACATATTTAGGGTAGAAATGCTGTGATGGAATGCTTGCATGTCTGTGACATACATCTTCTGTTCTACAGTGTCCAGATAACCTGGAACATTGTATCTGTCAAGCTTGGGCTCTATAGTATAGCCAAGAACTCAATGCACTTTAGACAGTGAACAGATAAAAAGATACCGTGTGGGGTAGCATTTTACAGTAAAATACTGAAACTTAAAAGGGATAAGGAGATGCACATTTGTAAAATATCTGAACATAAAAAAGCACCTCACAAGGCATTTCAAAGTACATGCTTAAGGAGTAGAGAAAAAAAGTGGAAACACCTTGTTCTCGATTTCAGGAAAAGAGTTTATGGGGAAAAATATGTGTGGATGCTCAGGATTAAATGATCTTCCGTTTAAGTGTAATTGCTAAAATGCAGCCATTCCTGGTTAATCTCTGGTGTTTGGCTGCATCAGGGATGACACTTTCTCTTTAGACCCTGAATGTTCCAGCAGATAAACTCATTATACACCTAATCTCTAATGAGGAAATGTCAAGTCTATAATTCAGGGCAATTTTCAAAGAGGCATTATAATGCAACATTAAATGAAAAGGACTGTCTTGAAGATGTCAGAGATAACATTATGCCTGCGATTAAATGATCAACTGGTTATGAACATGACTGAGCCAAGGGAATTGAATGGTACGGCATTTAGCAACACCGAGCAAATATAAGAATTCATTTGGGGTGGGGGAAGTATGCCTATTTTTGACTGTAAAGAAAATCTAAATTTAGGAGTTAGCAGTTTTGCATGTAGAAGTCATCTAGCTTGTCTCCTGGGTACTGAAATGCTGGGTTCTGATTCCATCTTAGGGATTTATGGGACTCAGTGGTCTTTTTGCATGGTAGAAGGGTGGTCTTGTTTCTGCCTGCAAACCTCAAGTAAATCACAGCTCCAAATATAAAGATCCCTCCCCATAAAAAAACAAAACGATTTGTGTTATCTTTCCACCTTATTTTGTATGAAAGAATCAGATGTGCATGATGTTTGTGAAGTTGCCAGGAATCATCACATTGTGTCAGGAATGATAGCCAAGGAACCTGTTTTTCCTGAGTAAAATGATTGTTTTTGATATGTAAGGAGGCCGAGTATAGGATTATTTTTGCAGGCAGGAGTGACGCTGAATAACTCTTACTTGCTGAAGAGAAAAAAAAAATCTTCTTGAGACTCTACTTCAGGGGTCTCCAAACTTGACAACTTTAAGACTTGTGGACTTCAACTCCCAGAATTCTCCAGCCAGCATACCTTGCTGGAGAATTCTGAGAATTGAAGTCCACAAGTCTTAAAGTTGCCAAGTTTGGGGACCCGTCCTGGTCTACTTTTTTGGAACTGACGAGAAGAAGAAAAGTGTTGTACTGTAGTACTCTGTAAGTTTTCTTCAAATGACCCTAAATTTTTGCCCCAGCATTTCAAAATAAGACACAGCAGAGACAACTTGCTGCTAGTCTATATGCTGTCTGATCCTGAATGCCATGTTATAATATGGAAATTGAGACATATTAAGATGAATCTGAATGCTCAATACCATTCCAAAAAGAACAACAACAAAATTTAGACAGGATGGTAGCTATCTAAATCTCAACTTTCATCAGAACTGTAACATTCTGCATAAATATCCATAAAAAAGGAGATATCTCAATGGCATTATGCAAAACTGTGAAGAGGAAATTAACTAAAATGTCTGAATAAAATTACGTTATGAACTGGGGCCCTGGCTATGAACCAAGTTATAATTTCAAAGAGAAGCCCTATTCTAATTTGCTGATCTCTTATTGTTCAGTGCTTATCCATAATTCACAGTCAGGCAGGAAAAAAAAGTCACAATTTCTGTCTTTTCTTTGGGACAATTTATTTATGAATAATTGCACTGGCATCCAAGGGTTCAGCTATGACTGGCAGATTAATTCCAAACAATAACAAAAGAGGCTGTTAATATATAGCAGGGATTTATACTGAGATTGCAAATGTTACCTGCATAACAACAAAGCATGTGGTAGCATAATCTTATAAGCAGGGTTGCTCATTTCCCATTCCTTATGCTGTGGGTGAAGACAGACATTGTATTTAAATAAAATCACAGGGAGGTTATTCACCTGCAGTGTGAATTCAGCTTCACAGGTCACACAACATATATATATATATAATTTGTTTTGTTTTCTTTCTCTTTTTCTCCCCAAAATGCCATGTGTCTTTTTATCTGTTTTTCCATTCACCTTTTATGCATTTTTTTAAAAAAGGAAAATGTTTAGAAACACTTGCAAAACAGTTCTGAACAATATAGATGGACATCTATCAATGATGGCTTAGGCACTGGCAATTGAGACAGATCCTGCAGCTTTAGGTTTTTCTTTTGATACCCAAGGAAGATTGGGATATCAATTCTCCAGATTTGGAGAAAAAAATGTATTTTTAAATGATTAAAAAAACCTCCTGCATATTCCAAAAGCCCCCTTCTCATCCACCACTTTGTTTAGTCTGTCTTCACTGTCTATTTGTAACTAATATCCTACCCTGTGATTCAAGGGCATTCACTATTACCTGTTTTTTAAAAAGTTACAATTAAAATTATTTTGATACATTTGTAATGCCGTAGCCTATTAATGCTTCTGCATCTGCCAATAATGTTATTAATATGGTACTTAGCCTGCCTTGCTCTTAAATCTTGCTAACCACTAGCTTTGTTGTGTTCGCATTCCAATCATGCATATTAGTAGAAATTATACCTTTTACCTTGCAAAGAACCACACATAGTAACACCATGCTTCTTGTGGGTTTTAAATCAACAGCTCCTGATTTTAGGTGGGCAGGGAACCTTATTTCCAAATACCAATATTATTTCTTTTTAGGAGATACAAAGAAGCCAGATTTATAGTTATTTGTAAATATTGGTACTTAGACACCTTTTAGATACCTTAAATCCATGCCCCCCTTTTGAGACAGCATTGTTTGTACCTGTACATATATATATCTTGGGAAATACAGACACCTGTTCAAATGATGAATCACACCAAATTACACAATATCACAAATACTGCTACAATACATTGGGATTGAGGATGACAGGATGCTGCAATTTGTCTGGAAGATTCTAGAAAAATTGAGATAGCATCCTGTCACTGAGAAACCAGTGGGGTATGTGTGTGTTTATACGTGTGCGGGTAAAGGAGGGAAAAGAGAGGAAGGAAGATCAAATGATTGAGTAAGAACATGCATCAACTAGGAGATATCTGTCAAAAAGCCCACAGTAAACACCAGATATTGGCAAATGATCAAAACAGGTTTTAAATCAAGCTGCTATATTATGGCCCAGAGGAAAGGGAGTGGATATGCATTGATTTAAACTTATCCTGATTCCGTCAAAAAGTAGAATCAGAACAAAGTTGCTTTTTCTATAAACAGCAAAGTATCTGTCCTGTAATCATTTACCTGCAGTTGGTTTTCAGATATCTATTCATGTTCCTAGTGGGTAATTTACCTGCTCAAATCATGTGGAAAACTGTATGTCAATTCCCAACTCTCTCTCTCAATGTTTATTATTTTTTATTTAATGTTTACTCCAGAGACAAATTTTAAAATGTGATCATATTATCAATGACATATGTACGTGCTACCTTAGCCTCCTTGTGACTGGAATATTTATGAATTAAACAAATTTATATGGCCATCCAACTCACACATAGCATCAGTGGGAAAGCACTCTTTTATTCATTATATAGCCTGAAGCCAGGAAAACTTACTCTTCTTCTTTTTTTATTTCCCCACCGATTTTCTAGAGTGATGCTGTGAACAGATCTGGTGTGGCAGCTGTAACCAGTTGTCTAATAGCATTGGCATTTATATATCATTTTGAATGGCACCTGAAGTGGCTGGTTGCTTAATGTTTCACAGGCAGGGAGTTGAATACTCCCTCAAGCTTTCATAGAATGGAGGAGGAGGTCATAGGGAAGCAATATCACTAAGCAGCTGGATTTACAAACTGTCCAGGGAATATTAAGTGGAAGGTGATGCGCATGGAAGGAACGTTGACATTTAAAGAAGTAGATTTATTAGTCTTTTTAGTGAATGATATTTTAAAAAAGCAAAGTGGAAAATGGTTAAATTGTTCCCATTGAGATTTTTAGTTATAAGAGGCAGCATTTTCTAACAAATGAAATATCCACTCCAAACCAGCAATCAACACAAAGAGATTATGCAAATAATAAGATATACTTTCCCACATGGTACAACTTGTAAAATGCAAAAGCAAAAATAGCCAACCTGCATTTTCATGTACAAATTACTCATCTGAGTATGGAAAGTTTGTACAAGGTGATGTAGCATTCCTTGTTTCCTTGCAACACACACGTTTAGATGTTGTCTATTCACAGTAATAAGCACTGCAGATTACATATGATAACACTAATACCAGTCTCAGAC